ACTTCAGAAAAATTTGTCGCAAAAATCGCTCGCTTTTTTAGGGGACAAATTGACCCCTGAATCATTTTTGGACGGGACATTTTAAATTTTATTGCGGGATTGGCGCAATGGCCCCGAAACGCCGAACGAAATTTCCCTAATTCTGTGGCGACGATGGATAAGTTAATTGCCCGAGAAGCGCTTCGAATTGGCTTAAAAATACTTTCGTATGGTTAAATAACTTGACTGTATAATGAAAACTGTGTCTTATAGAGCCCAGAAATTGAGAAGTAATATGTCAAAAACAGGGGCGAGTTCTTCATCACGGGTTCCAAACATCGAGAAACATGGTGATGTTTGGCGTTTGGAACCGCGATTAAGCACAAAGCTGGAGTTTTTGATATGTCTTCTCAAATGAAAGAATAAATTATTAAACAGTGATATGTTTTCTTAAATCAAACAAAGATAAATTATGCATTGTTACATTTTTGACCTTCACTGATGGAACGTGTTTACATGTTATTACATCTTAGCTTTCATTTGATGTAAGTTTCATGCGGTTTCATCTGGTTTCCCTGTACGTAGACCGATCAGTCTTCGTGATATCACGAAGAACGTTAACCATTAAAATGGTTAACGTTCCATAATTGAGACGCTACACAAAAAGTTTGAGTTCATTTCGCCGCATTTGTTCGCACCTCTAATTTCGCAACAAACTACTACAAGGTATATCAGCATCAAACCATCGCCAAACTACTACAATTAAGCTTTCGTTTGATTTTACTTTCATAGAAGAGGCTAAACATAACGCATGAGTCAAATCGCCATCGGTGACAATTTAACTCTCAGTGATGGAGAGTTTGGTGCGAGTTTGTTGGAGGTGGCGAGTTTGTTGCAGTTGCGAATTGACCTTAAACTGTTTTGTTTCATTAGCCATGTAGCTCACGGATATGACTAGCACCTTCATTTCCACACCTCAGCAAGTGCTTGGATGTGAAGTTTGAAATTTTTAAAAAGGGCTTAATACGGTGCTCTCCTAAGGTCAAAAAAGACAGGCGGTACAGCATAGACCGCACATTATAACCCACGTACTGTTTACACTGTTCTTAGTTATTTTTGTAAGGAAATGCTAGGCAAGATTGGCAAGATTTCGGTATAACTCTGACTTCATTTTGCATACATATTCCAAGATGAATGGAATAAACAATAAAAATAGTTGGGGATTAAGTATTAGTAACTGAGTCGATAACGTAAATTTGCCAACTTAAAGAGTTTTAAAGATGATGTTTCGAGGGTTACCCCTCGTCTGAGCGAATGGAGGAATTATGGGTTGTATATGTGTTTAAATGCAGAAATGAATACAGTTGAAACCGTTTCAAGTGGCTCTGTTCTAAGCGGTCTCCCCTTATTATGAGGTGTTTTTGAAAGTTCAGTATTGTAATTTTCACCACTATTAAACGGTCGTGGTCACCCGCAACTGAGTCCCATCGGCCTGTATTGTCTTTAACCAGTCACAAACAGTCACTGTTTCAAACGGAACTGTCTCAAATATGACTAAGAATAATCTCTAAATTATAAATTATTCCATGTTTATCTCCGGAAATTAATGTCAGCACTCTAAATTAAATATTGAAGTGTCCTCAATACATTGCAGGTTTTCTCTCTTTCTAGTACTGTTAGGACAAAGTGGTGTTTTTTTATCGTGTCTGACCTCTTCTCTGTTGAAGCTGTATTCAGTAGTCAACCTGTCATTCTGCCATTCTATGTAAGTGACAGGTTCGACTGTAGCTCAGAAACCTCTCCAGTTACCTTTGGCTGACAAACTTAATATTTTATTCGCTTTGACTGACGAAATCTACCGTGCTGTAACAAACATTGACTTCCTCTGTTGATATGAATTAGCTTTGGAAAGGAGCTAACATTTCATTTCCTTAACGTTTTATACAGAAATTAAATTTAAGTAATTTTATGTCATGGAGGGCTGGGTATCATGATTGCTTTAGCATTTAATCGTGGTCAGCAAAACATTTAAAATACAGAGAAAGAAAATCGAAGCCGTTTATTTTGAACACATAGTAACAACAATAATTTTCTTGATGGCAGTGTATTGATGACGGAACTCTTCCAGTTTGGAGCACAAGACCTGCACCAAGCCTGGCTATTAACTACTGGAGGCTTAAAGTAGGTCACATGATGGAGTGAGCGGACAACAAGTTGATTTTAGTGCTAATGATTCAAAAGTAAAAAAGAGAAAACAATGGAATTAGTATCAAGTGGTATCTAATTCTGTGGTACCTATTTCACTCTGTTTCACGTAATGTAGTAACTATACTTAAGTTCAACCGCACAGCGGTAATTTCATTTCATATATTTCATTCTTAGGAAGATGCAGTCATGCGCGATGTAATCTTAGCGATACGAGCCGATGAAGCTCATCACAGAGTTGTAAACCACACTCTGAGCTCGATTCATCTCAATGAAAAGAATCCATTCTCTCCAGGCCAAAAGAAGCTATGACACAACAAACTATACATCACAAGAATGGGTCCGACCTGTTGGAGAGAGGATTTAATTTAATGACTTAAACATTTGATTAGTGTTTTTCATTGTTAGGGTAATTTCTGAGAAAGGATTATCGAAGGTGAAAATTAAAAGTTTCCCAAACAAAAGAAGTTAGGGATACTTGGCTCTGTGAACCTTGCCGGCTCGAATCCTTTCTTGTTCCTAGAGTCCTCACATGCAACGGTAAGTGATAACGAGTGGCTCTGGGAACGAGAATGCCTTGATTCTCATGTGGCCTTTGAAGGGCATACGCAGTGATAACCATGGTTTAGAGATCTGTCGTGATTCCTATGTCACTTCTACTGCATCTTCTGTTGTTTTCCACCATGCTGCTCTTGTGCGGCCATTCTAAGGTTACATCTTCATTAATTTTACCATAAATTTTTCTTTTTTTCACTTGAGTGGGTTCCCTTCACTTCCTCAGTCACGCACGTTTCATTCATTTCTTACGATGCTTCTTCCCGACATGGTTTGATGCTACTCTAGTTTAAGGATTTAATTTATGTAACCGGGAAGTTACAATTCATAGACCCAACGTTTCGACACTCCTGTTGAGTACCTTCATCAGAAGTGATCTAATCGCTGCAACAAGCGGTCTTTTTATATGCTCACTAATTAGCTGCCCTTTTCCCTGACGAGGTGTGAATAGGCGTCAGGTAGTAAGCTGCCATCATTACGATCTAAAGACCCATTTTCACCCTTGATACAACGCGCCCCTAGACCCAATTTCCTGTAACACGAAATTCCCAGATTACTGAAAACCTTCGAAAATCGTCTTTCTCAAAAGCCATCCTGGACATATAGTCAACTGTTTTATAGTAAATACATTCGCCGCTCGTCATTTTACAGTTTCCTTACAATATTTTGAATTTTGTCCGGTAGAATCCGAAGAAAATTTCTTTAAATGTCACGCTTGGACTGATCTCTTCGTACTCTGTGAACAGTCGGTGAAAAGGACAACGTTCGAATTTTTTCACTTTCTTGAAGCACTTGAGGATTCTAAATAAAGATAAAATGTTTTCCCATAGAAATTAGATTTTTTCAAAGAGAAATATGGAAAATGTCAGACTGCCGGACGCTTAGTTATTCGAAGACTGTGTCCGGTAGTGTCCATTGAAAATCTCATCAGTGTCACGATTGGATCTCTTCGTACTCTGTGTACAAGGTCGGCGAAACGGACGACGTTCGAATTTTTTAACTTTCTAGCAGCGCTTGAGGATTGTAAATGAAGATAGAATATTTTCCAAGGAAAAATGGGTACATCTCAAAGAGAAATGTAGAGTTATTTGAGGAGCGTGTCCAGCCGTGTCACTCAAAAGTTTCTAAGCGGGAAACTTCAACTGACCCTGGGTCCTATTTAACAAGGGTGGCACACTTCAATTCAGAAAAAATTGATGTATTAATGAAAACGTGGCGGATCAACAGTTACACCTTCTTCGGAATGCTCGCAAGGATTTTCGTGTTCCTCTTTAGCAACAACCTATCCATAAGCATTTACTGCCTCAGAATCTACTAAATCAATGGATTCATCTGATTCTATACCGGATTAGAACGTATAGAACTGTTTTAAACAGAATTATTGTGACAAGCTCATCAAACTCATCGGAGATAACGCAGAAGCTATTTTGAGACAACGTGACTAGGTGAAAATAACTGAGCAATCAGAGGCGCTATTTAAACAAAAGCGATGGTTGAAACAAAAACAAACGACGCGTTGCATGAAGGTTGGAAATGGGCCTTTTGCCAGGCTTCAACATAAAGACACTGGTGCATATCAGCTCCGCCCACGCACAACAGAGCTAGGTAGAATTTGAGAGGCAAGTTCAGATAACAAGTTTGAAAATACTATATTCTGATCGGAATAGGTTCGTTACTTGAAGAACCAGGTGGTATACCTCTGCCAGTCGTAGTGAGGATAACCACAAAATCCAACCCCCTTCCCCTCCGCCTCAGGAGTTTGTCTAATAAAACCACAGTGACTGCTCAGATCAGATTTCTGATTTAAGTTACGCATCAAACGCTAGCAGGCATTTTAAATCAATGGCCCTGATTAAAAAAAAATGAAGAAAGATAATCAACCAGAGGACAGGAAGTAATTAAAACGGTTACTTGATTAAAACGGTTACTTGATAAAGAGCAGAGGAACGTGATACGGAACGTGAAGAACTTATTCCGCATTCCTTATTGCAGTAAGTAAATTCAAATTTCACCAAACAAGCGCGATAAGAAATAACATTTTTGTTTGTGGTGAGACGTAAAGAAAATAAATAAAACTTGATTGTTTTCTCGGAGAGATTGTTAATTTGCAATTAGCTTTTTCTTGTTTGATTGTGGTGTAAAAGATTTCCCGTATGTGTTGGTGTATTCAGGATTAATTAATAATATTGAATGTGCGGCGACAGTAGCAGTTGGGTACCATCTCAAAGGTGTTTCACTCACATAAACAACTTTCCAGCAGACTTAATTGAACCCATTTAATATCAAAAAGACCGTTGAAATTACATCATAAAGTAGCGAAAAACTTGATAGGTTGAGATCAGATAATAAAAACATAAAAAAGCCAACGACGAATTTCCTTTTCTACTTTCTTGTTTTGAAACCTGTAAGGTTTTTATACACATTTAAAATTAGAAAACTTCACCACGAAAAAAAACTACGTTTATCAACGTGCCAGGGTTCCTTCTTCTTTACCAGCCTACTTCAATAGTGCCAGACCCAAGGCAGAGGTAACGGTCATCAGGATCACACTGAAAGAAAATGAAGAGCCCGCGTTACAGTAGTCGGAGTCACAGCACCCGACTGCGCATTTTCCCTCTTTGACGTTGTCACAAGCCTTTTCTGCAGCTGTACAGAGGGCGCTACTGCTGCAAGAGTTAACCACTTCAGTTACGTCGTCGTTTTTGCCCCAGAGCCTCATGCATTTATCGGTTGGGCAGTCTACCGATTTGCTAGCCTTATCTGCTTCCAGTTTGCTCTTGCTACAGGCCTCTTCGGTTCCCTTACAAACGTAGCACTTGAGGCTGTAAGCTGAAATAAAGGAAATTAAGAAAGTAAAATTTCAGTTTATTACATTTTCGCACGCCTTTTTTTCCATATATATTTCGAAGTTTTTTCACTTTCCTTACGTCGAAGCTTGTCAAATTCATTTAAGTCTAGTGTTCGCGCGCACCGGAAAACTATAGAGTGTCCATTGTGCATTTAGAAATAAACTAGCGTAATTTATGCGATATATTCGGAATAAGATAAATTTTTCTAATCTCTGAGAATGGTGGATTAATTTTTCTCATCTCTTCTCTAAGAGTGGTGGAATACAATATCAGTTACATAGATAATCCCAATTAATTGATGATATTGCTAGCTCTCCCTTACGAGAGCTTCTATTATTGTGAAAGCGAAAGTACACCAAGGACTTGTGATATTCAAGCGATGAAGTATTCTGTTTGTTGAAAGGAGAGACTCGATTTGTGCAAAGTTGTCTGTATGTCACGATTTCCTCGTACTCGAACCGAAGAGGATTCAGAAGTATCGATGGATGCGTTTTTGGTGCGGTCAAGGTTCTGCACAAACTTCATGCCTTCTTTATGACGAGAGTAACCAAACATGACAAAAACAGGCAAATGTTCCTTCTCAAACGAAATAGCACGGAATAAATGGTACCTGGAAAGTTTCTTTCGTTTGTTTCCCATTCTGCATGAACAATGAAAATCTAAAGAAGGCTTCGAAACGTAATTTGACCAAACAGAACAAAGCGCGCTGGAACGAACCCTTAGCTTAAGGAAGAATCAATAACTCGAGAAACGAAACCGGAATAAACTCCATACATGAACATCACATGCAGACAGGGAGGTTGGCACTCAGCTGAACGTTACTTACAAAAAACGCACACAGTTCAATCAGAGAGTCAACTTGTGCTTTGGCAAAGGGAAGGAAGGATGAGCTCGAATGGACGTCACGGAAATCTAGTGGCTCGAGGGAGCAAAATCATTTGATTTCAGTTTCAACGTGGCCACCTTAAACCCATTCTACATTCGTATGTACAACGAAAAACAACCCGACGCCTTCTTTCTGTGCGTAGATGAGTTTTAACTATGAACACGTGGCAAGCGCGCTGAAACGAACTCGTAGCTTGAAAGCGATAGAGGGGTATGTCGACAGGAGAGATTGCTCGGACGGATCAGGTGGCGTCGCTGCTCTCTTATTTCACGGTTGAACTTCACAATAACAAACCGAATAAACTTACCAGTTGCAAGAACTGCACAGAAGACAAAGATGCTCAGCACAAGACCCTTCATTCTGCGTACCTCAGTGACTTTATGAACGTTGCAGCTTCCTCTGACAAAACCAGCGCCCTCTACAGACGCCGTGTAATGGGGCGTTTATATAACTGGGCTCAACCAATAAGATTACTAATTTAAAATAGCGAGCAAATCAGGAAACTCCACTTCATGCGCCTTGTTATCGGCATTAAAAGGGATGACGTCACTGCATAGTACTCTCAAGAATGCGAAAAAGAAACCGCATGTTGTTTGAAGACGGAAAATCTGAAGCGTCTTATGCTCTGATCAAGATTATTGCGTCAATACAGGGCGGAAACAAAACAGTTGTTGCCAAAATTCTCTATCGTTCGTGCACTGTATAATGTGCAGTGGAACGTACGTGCAGGCAGATCACTAATTCAGGTAGCGCTCATGATGTTGAGGAACTTGAATTTCCGTTCTAGCGTTTTTTCATGGATCGTATCGAGAAAAAGCCTATCAGTAATTCCTTATGTACCAGCCAATCGGCAGTTCGCCGCTTTTGCATGAAACTAACACGTGCTCTGCAGCTTTCCACAGACAGCTTTCCCTCTGGCGTTGACTCAAAGGAGATTTATATAACACACATAGTGTGGTCTACCTGTGGTTACATGCGGCTGAGTTTTGCATCCTTTTGTTCATCTTTGAGGAGTATCTCTTCGAGGCCGAAAAGGTGCATTTATCTCAGCGTCCGATTTACCATTCAATTGATGGGATTACTTCGATTTATAGGGTCAAAAAATATCGATTGTTACCTTGAAGCGTGGAGATGAAATGAATTGAAAATGTATTTGACAAAGAATCTTTCAATGAAATAAATAGCAACCTTGCACATCAGTGCTGTGGAGAACATATTCTCTCAAGTCTCTCAACCTACTTCATCGTGTTTTCGTTGATCTTTTAGGATTATCTATTCGAGGCCCATTGGGTAGAGTTAATGTCATAGTCAAATTTGCCATTCGATCCATGGGATTACTATGTCTCATGAGCTCAAAAACGTATTGATATGTTGCTTAATACAATGGAGATGAAATGGAATGAAAGTGTAGTTGACAAAGACAATTTTTCAATGAAAGAACTTGTAACCGGAAAAAATGCTAAGGAGAAGATTTTGTCTCAAGTTACTCAACTTACTGCCGACAAACTCGGCAACACTTATCATCACAGAAAAGACACACGACTAGGCCTAACTCTAAGGGATTTTACATTTTGTCAGATATTGTGATATTCAACATTAAAAAAATTAAATTGAATGTTAAAATCCCTGTTAATTGGTGCATTGTCTATGCCCTCTTTCTGTATTTCCAGATTGTGTTCCAGTTCGCCTGTGTCACTGATAGGTAAAGGCGCTAACTTCAGAACGTATTCCACGACGGTAAGACTTTCCTTTAAAGAGATTCTTTTCCTAGTATTTCTTTTGGAATGAACAACTCTTCGCTACTGTAGGAAATCTCATAGCAACAAACTGATTGCCTAATGAATAAAATGAGGCTTGTCAAGTATAACCCGGTCGTTATATGCTAATGAGAAGAACAATTCAGAACAAATGACTAAATGTTCACAATTCGAATTAACTGTGAACATTTATTCGGTCACTAAAAAATGCAGACTGCAGACCGGGTACACACACTGATTTTCACATTTTTATATAGTAGATGAGAGAAAAGTAAACAAACTAATCAGTATGTGTACACCCCTGACGCGGAAAATATATCAAGTCGAAAGAACAGTATTTTCAGTATTTTCAAGACCTCGGTCACAGTTTTTCACCATACGGACCTCCCAGCCGGCAAATAACATATATGTATTTTTGTCAACGAAATGAACAGATATCTGTGAAAATGGTGAAGAGTACGGACCACGTGCAAAGCTGTCAAATATTGCGCGTGTTAATTATTGACATCTCGCGTGCGAAGGCTGTATGAAGGCTTTAAATTCTGATATGAACGTTTGTAACTGCTTTTTTTAAAAAGCGAATTCAATAGCCGCTTTTTAAACGAAAAAATCAGCAAAAAGGCGAGTATAATCACCAGTACTACACGCATGAGTGCACCTTCAGGACCTTTATACTCCACAGTCCGATGCATTGAATCACTCGTGTATGCTCAAACTGGTCACGAGGATAGGAATAAAAGTTCAACAACATATCTATCTTTATGAAGGCTCTGAGTTTGAAGGAGAAATGTCACCACCACACACGATTTTAGACCCCTGGTGCCTCCCGTTTGCGCTTGGTGTTCGAGCTAAAATACCCCTATAGTCCAACGACAGATTAATCATTCTACAGTTATCGTTCAAATTCTCCAATCTTTACCCTACTCCTGCAACATAGGACTCCATTCCTTCTCTTAAACTTCTTTATTTCTCATTCCAGTCACGGTGATGAAATTGTATTATTAGAAATTGTCGAAATTATTTCACGCGACTTTGTTTTCCTGTTTACCAACAAAAGAATTGCGGAACATACTAAGGCCAATCACCGCTGGTAGGGTGCCAAGGACACAACATTACGTGCGGGAATGCGGACCTAACATGAAGTGCCAGAATGTTACGATAAGAACTTTTACCTGAAAAAAAAAAAATGCACAACGAAGTACATTCAAACAAAGAACGTCAAAAGAAAATATAAATGCATGCCCTACTCAGATATTTAATTATATATTTTTCCACATTTGTTTTTGTCTATTTTGTACACACTCAACTCGATATACACATATTGTCAAGTAAAATTAAGAGGATATCGAACTAATATCATCAGTTTTCCCTGCTGCTTGAAGTTCGGCTGGCTACTACTGTGAGTAAAGAAGTTTCGTAAGACACTAACGTGCGGTGAGAGATTATAAAATCATGTGTGGTAGTTAAATTTCTCCTTCACACTCAGAGCCGTCATAATAATAGATATGTTGTTGAAAGCTTTATTTTCTGAACTTCAGAGCTATTAATATTGGCTGGTCAAAAACACGCCACGTTTTATACTTTGGTTTGAGCGAGAAAACTTGAGCCGGTTAACTGATAACTGTGAAAGAAAAGCTCAAAATTTACGGGGAAAATGGAGAAAATCAAAGCCAAACAAACTCGCGTGTCACTAAAAAATGTTTTAAAAGTCAAAGACCCGAAGTTATCGAGACAAATTTAAAAAACGTGTAACTTGCGAGTTTTTTTCGGCTTTATTTTTGTTGCTTGTTGGATTAGGACCTAAATGGTCAATGCCGATAGTAAAATTGGGCAGTTCTTCGCTGGTTTCTTCCATATTTCAAAGAGAGGGAAAACTGCACTGCAGCTTAACAGGAAGGAAACTCTGTAGCTTGTCATAACACCTATGTTATTATTCCTTGTTGTTTGGATTAAACTTCAGTGATACACTGTTGATACAGTATCGCAACCCAGTGGGTGGAGGACCGTCTGGAAATACGTGACCAAGATGAGAATCACACTATGAAAAGAAATGAGAACCACACAATACTGTAAGTTGCAATTCCCTCCAACTGCCATATATCTACTCCCTCATTTGGTGGGTTATTTCATTTCTTTATTGATTATATTTCCAACATGATCATGTTTACTCCCCAATCAGGCTGTAAGTTACTGGGTTCAGTGTGCTTATTTTATTTGTTATGTAAAATATATGAATTTGTAAACCTTTATTACTTTGGAAAAAAATATCTCACCTCTTGACAAAGTACTTCAACTCTAATCATACCATGGCTGTAATCGTGCTTTTCAGCTACTGAAAGCTGAAGTGTTGTTGCATCACTAGAGGTTACTTCTATAGCAGAATGGAATGATGGCCAACCAGTGCCAGAATCAAATTTTGTGGATGAGCTGGAATTGTGTAAACCAACAAAATATTCCCTGTGGTAAGTATACATGCAAAATACAACGCATAAAGCATTAAAAGCATTAGATTTCCAAACATGACTTGCTTTGGAAAGAAGTAAAAGTTTTTTGACCATGATCTTTCACCTTTAAACAGTAAGGATCAATAAGGCAATATAAACAAAGGTGAAATCAAACAAGGTGAAACAGAAAATACACAAGCATGACTGCACCAATCAGTAAGCACACAACAGAAGAAGTGTGTGGTGTGCAACAGACAATTAAAGGAAAACTCAGTGAGACAGCGAGGATTGAAATATGCCAACTACTGATAATCAACCAACAATAGCAGCACATCTGATGGTCACTTATAACTAGTGATCTCCTCCTTAAATTCAGTGAACTGCATTCAACAAAAAATGATTTACAGCAGTGAGGAACCAATGATGACTGTTACAAGAAAAAAAGGTCTTACCAAAACAGATCACTGCCACAGCAAACACACTTGTATATTCCTTTTCCTTTGAAATCAACATACTGACCAGACCATGGCTGCAAACAATTTTTGAGTACGTAAATGTATTCAAGTGTCAAGATTTATTCTAGTGCATGACCAACACTAATTGAGGACTGCATAAAACACAGAGATACTCAACAAACCAGAAAAAAATTAGTTATTTCAAAATTCCCAAATTCAATATTTTACAGAAGAAAATTTAAAATAATTATGGAAATAAATTACAACCTTGTGTAAACATCGGTTTTTGTCTTAAAAACACCCTTAATTTTACATAATGCTTGCCTTACTGGTTCCGTTCCCTTTTGTCTGCAGATGGCAAATTGTTCAGGAGTGAGTTTTGCTTTCCATTCAGTGTCTGGCATCTTTTGTATGGAAACTGAACAGTGAAATAAAAATGTAATCATCACTGATATACTAAATGAAACCCAGGAAAGAGGATGTAAATATCATATATGGTAGGAACATCGATGACACACTCAGCTGGACCTTGTGTACCACTTTTTTTGTTCTCACCACATTTGACGTCCTCTGTGATCTACTTAGACACACAGAAACATGGTCCAGATTTAGAGGTAAGTAGGTGGAGGGGGAGGGGGGGGCAGTGTTATGTTGTGGCCCCTCATAATCTGGTCTTGCTCTTTGTTAACATTGGTCCTCCAACATCGAGTATTGATCTTCAAACATCAGTATTAAAAAAAAAATTTAGTTAGGAATCTTTTCCGTGAGTAACAAAATTTAAAACATAAAACTAGGGCTACTGGGATT